GTAGGGAAAAAAAAACGTAAACTTTTTTTGTATTTATTGTTATCAATGAGTTTAAGAGATTTTACAATAAGGGAAATATCAGCAAGAAACACATCAAATCTAGGCAAAGACAAACTTGAGAAATTTGTTTTTGTGAATAAAACATTAACAATGTTACACAAAAATGAACAAGATAAATAGCAAGGTCACTGCCAGAAAAGTAAAAAAAAGAAGTATATCTTTAAACGAAAAGTTTAAATCACGTTTTATAAAAGCAGAGAGGTAATGACTTCAGTTCCCCCAAAGAGGTTTAACCTGTTTGCAGAGGACACATAATACACATACTTTAGAGATATCGAAAGTAGCAGTTTGGGAGTAGATGGGATAGGCGTTATGTAGACTCTTAAAATGAACCTCTTTGTTTTTTATTACAAATATTTTTCTGTCAGTAACCATGCTCTCTTCCAGTGAATACTGTAAAAAAACAAATTCCAGAAAAATCTAGGGGATGTGTAAACATAGTAATGTAACAATTGCTTTACATGTTCACTGTTACATTTTTATTTATCAAGAAGACAAAATCCATCCAATAAATGTTTGGGCATACACTAAATATCTTCTGTCATGAATAGGCTAGATTGATGACACTTTCTCAGCATTGGCTGGCTCAGTGTTTCAAAGTGTCTTCCTGAGGAAATAAATATGGTATGCTTTCTCTTTGTCAGACATTTCTTATTGTCATTCTTCTGCTGTTCACACACTGTAAAAAGTAGTTGTTGACACAATGCAGTGCATTCAGATTTTTAGGTTCTCTCAACTATTGTCCTAATAATTGTTCTTCTGAGTAACCTTTTGTCAATTTAAATGTAGACATTCACTAATTACAAAAATGCTTCATTCTATATGAGACATATAGATGAGTTCTTAACATCACAAAACAACAAATAACTAACAATAATGACAAAACAACAGCAATAGTTTAAAAAGAGGCAGAGAAACAATCCTATAACAGTAAATGCATGATTAATTCATGCTGCACTGCTTGCTGGGAACTAGCAACATTTGGGGGTATTTTCTTTGTCTAATATGGGTTTTATGAAGGTTCAAAGTACTGTACCACTTTTGCGTTACAGATTATTCCTGACAGCTGAAAGAATAAGTGCTTTGGAAAAGTGAAAACTATTCCGTTATTTCAGTATGTGAGGTTATTACTTTAATGTGTACTACTGTTTGTGATTTAGTGGGTTATGAGTTTAAGTGTTATTGACCACAACAACCGTTATTATTACAGTCTAGTTTTTCTCAATGAAAATAAGAGAACTTCATTGGGGATTCAAAATCTAGAAATGAAGCTTTACAGTGAAAAAACATAAGGTTATGATGTAAAATAAATAGATATTCTGGGTCACTAAAAATGCACATCAAATAATTAGGTTTGTGACACTGATCACGTGGCTTAGTATAGATGGTCAGATGTTCTTGTTTCCATTGAAGCTCAAGATACTCATCTCAAGTCATGCCGGAGAGCATTTGTGCTGCTTGACCATGCTGTCATTAGGGCAAAAATTCACTTTTCACTAATGAATTTGAACAAAATACAAGTATTTTTATTAGTGGGCTCAGACATTTTGGACACCGCATATAGGTTTCTTATGCTGTAAGATGAAGGTTATAGTTTTAGAAATCTATGAGAAGAAATAATATAATTGCTATTGTTCTTCTCTAGGACTTGCAGCTGTTTAAATGTGTAACTCACCGGCTTCATTTTGTTCCAGCATGTTGATGGTGGGCGACCATGGAGGGATCTTCTAGAATGAGTGTGAGAGAGCTTTGTGAGACAGATGATCTGGCCACGAGTCTGGTGCTGGATCCCTTACTGGGGTTCAGCACTCATAAGATGAACATAAGGTACTGTGCTACTAGGGATGGAACGATTACCGGTTTCACGATAAATCACGATAAAATGCCCTGACGGTTAGTATTATCGTTTAAAATTTAATTATCATCAAAATCGTATTTGATTATCGCACTTTTGAAAACTCGCGGTAAATCCTGTCCAGCCAGCATCAGTCTGACGCAGAAGCAGCATGCAGTGTTGTTGTTGTTGTTGTTTTTTGCACGAGACGAAATGGCGGAAAGCAGTGACAGCTATCATTCATATGCTAATTTGGTACTAAGAAACCATTATTATTATGATTATTATTATTACTACTACTACTGTTATTACTATTTATGTTAAAAACAGTTTCCTTTTTTTTTTTGTAGAAACCATGATGCTTTTTTCAAGATTCTCTGCCGAATGGAGAAAGTTCAAAAGAACAGCATTTATTTGAAATAGAAATTGTTTGTAATAATATACATGTCTTTACTGACACTTAGTTTGATCTAATCAGTTTAATGTGACATTGCTAAAATAAAAGTTTTAATTTATTTTATATATGTCTTATTGACCCCAGATCTTTGAACTGTAGTGTAAACGATTTCTTCCATTCATAATTTGTAATTTTTTTGATTTCTTTCATTATGTGAATGAAGTCCTCCCCCTGAGATCCGGCGATGGGGTTACCTCAGAGAGACACTTCTGCGGTTCAAACGCACACATGACTTCCAGGCCACCTTTGATGCCCTGTTGGATGGGGAATGGGTCAGTGGCTATTTCACTGGGCTGGGTTCACACCGACAGGAGCTGTTGAAGCAGCACGTGAGTATCATATCTTATCCAGAATTGCTGAATGTCCATTTTTTGGTTGCTTGTACACTTGTATAATGATCACCAAAGAGGAATGTAAGAATGCTTGAATTGCTTTGAATGTGTAGCCGTTGTTGTGTCTAGTTTAGCAAGGATGGTTTGCTTTTTCTTCAGCATATTTGCTTACATAATTGTCTTTGCTAGATCATTTTTTTGCCACCTTGATGAGTACAGTCTCTCTGTACACAAAAGGACTGTCCTGGACAAAAAAAATTGTTTGCCTAAGATGGACAAGGGCAGGGAAAATATAGATTTTTGTGATTAATTAAAATCTTTAGGTGAACAATCCCGAGACTTTCTTTAAAGGATAAGTTCACTTCTGAATTAAAATGTCCTCATAATTTCCTCACCCCCGTGTCATCCAAGATGTTCATGTCTTTCTTTCTTTCTTCAGTCGAAAAGAAATTAAGGTTTTTGAGGAAAACATTGTTGTTATTCTGATAGCGCTAATGTAATATGTTTGTTTTTTCATATGGTAATGTGAAACATACAGTGGTTCAAACATTTAGGGTCAGTTTTTGAGGTTCATGTTTTTGAAAGAAGTAAAACAGTATTATAATGAAACATTATTACCATTTAAAAATTTTAAATGTGTATATATATAAAAAAAAAAAAATAAATAAAAAAAAAAAT